GTTCCTCATTCGGCCTCTCCTATTTGGAAGAGACTGAAAAGATGTGGACCTTGTGCTGAGCCACATATTGCATGGCATCTCGGGATTGGGCAGATTTTCTTTTGGCATGACTGCTAGATGGGCAAGTCCACTTTGGCATCTATCCTCCCCCACAGACAACACACATCTGCGAGGGTGTAGGAATTTTTTGGAGAGACTGGATGGGATATTGGACGATTATTATGGAGCACTATCATACCTCCGACCGTTTCTTTCTTCTATTGGAGATTATGGCAGAATTTGATCCCAGTGGATGTCAATATTCAGAGCAGGACCGGTATTCAGATGGCTTCTAGATGTCAATGTTGCTCAGCAATTGAGACCATCACTCATATCTTTACTGATAGTAGTATATCTGAGTATGTTTGGCAGCATTTTGGGAATTTATTTCAAATTATTATGACCCCAGGAGAAAGTGTCAGACAGAGATTTCTTCGATTGAGGTACTCTGGACAGTTTGCACGAGCCAGACATATTCGCATGATTATCCCTCTTTTAATTTTCTGGTTTCTTTGGACCGAGAGAAATGATGCTAAGCACAGGAACATTCGCATCAGTGCGAGGCATATCATATGGAGGGTTTATCGTATGATTTCTTTCCTTCATACTGGTGGATTATTTCGACCGTTACATTGGCGGGATGACATACAGATAGCTCCACTATTTGGTGTTTCTTTGACACTTTCTACATCTCCCTCCCCTATTATGGTCTAGTGGCGCACCCCATCAGTTGGATCTGTAAAGATCAATATCGACGGTTGTGTCAAGGATGGGCCTGCGAGTGGGGGAGGCATTATCAAGGATCACATTGGAAACTGCATCAGTGCATTCTCAACATCATATGGCCAGTGCTTGATTTTAGAAGCTAAACTTAGAGCTATTCGTGATGGTATACTACTAGCTAAAGATCTTGGAGTGTCAAACATCTAGATTGAGGCAGAATCCAGTGTGGCTATTCACTGCATTCTCAGAGGTGATGGTCTGTGGACTATCCAGGGTATACTCCGACAAATTGTGGATCGTCTTTCATTCGTCAGAGACACGGTCTCCCATATCTTCAGAGAGGAAAATCAAATTGCAGATGCACTTGCTACCGAGGGCTGGCACCAACGCAGATGCCAGGTATATGGACCTTCTGATTTCCCACGACACATTAGGGCTCTTGTTCAGATTGACAGATATGGCTTGCCCAGCATCAGAGTTTGATTTTATGATAGTTTCTTTACATTTGCATTTACTTCTAGTTTTGTTTACATTTGTTCGATTTGTAAGGGAAGTAGTACTTCCTTATTTACTGCTTTATCTTTACTTCTATTGTAAGGGAAGAAGTACTTCCTCGTTTACTGCTTTACTTTACTTCTGCTGTAAGGGAAGTAGTACTTCCTTGTTTACTGCTTTTCGTTACTTTAACTGTAGGGGAAGTAGTACTTCCTCATTTATTACTTTCTTTCCTCATGTAACCACGGTATTCCTCCGCCACAAGTGAGGGAATATTAATAAAAGCTCGGAGGTACCGCCCTCCTTCAACAAAAAAAACCCTAACCCCTACCCCCTAACCCTAAACCCTAACCCTAAACCCTAAACCCTAAACCCTAAACCCTAAACCCTAAACCCTAAACCCTAAACCCTAAACCCTAAACCCTAAACCCTAAACCCCTAACCCTAACCCCTAAACCCCAAACCCCAAACCCTAAACCCTAAACCATTCATAATCGGATAAAATTCTCTAATTCGTTTCATCGATTCTCGTCAAAGTTTCATTCCAATCGCTTTCTCTTGTTCAAGATGCAGATCTTCGTTAAAAACCTGACTGGCAAGACCATTACCCTTGAGGTGGAAAGCTCTGACACCATCGACAATGTAAAGGCTAAAATTCAGGATAAGGAAGGGATCCCTCCAGATCAGCAGAGGCTTATCTTCGCTGGTAAGTAGCTTGAGGATGGCCGTACTCTTGCTGATTACAACATCCAGAAGGAGAGCACTCCCCACTTGGTGCTCAGGCTCAGGGGTGGTATGCAGATTTTCGTCAAGACCTTTATTGGGAAAACCATTACTTTGGAGGTGGAGAGCTCCGACATCATTGATAATGTTAAAGCCAAGATACAAGACAAGAAAGGCATCCCGTCAGACCAACAGAGGCTTATCTTCACTGGTAAACAGCTTGAGGATGGCCGTACTTTGGCTGATTACAACATTCAGAAGGAGTCTACACTCCACTTGTTGTTGAGGCTTCGTGGTGGCATGCAGATTTTTGTCAAAACCCTCACTGGGAAGACAATTACCCTTGAAGTTGAGAGCTCCAACACTATTGATAACGTTAAAGCTAAAATTCAGGACAAGGAGGGAATCCCACCAGACCAGAGTGAGAGAATTCTTGTAGACGGACGGAGTTTCAGACCTATCAGTTAGTGATACGGTGTTTAATAAGCTTATCACTAAGCTGTTAAACACCTGACTGAGTTCATTATTGCCTCATATCATCTCCCCTTCGTAGAGTGGTTTTGTCCCCTATTGTCTCATTGGGGATAATGAATTGTTGACTCAAGAGCTTCTCCATGCATTGGATGATAAAGTACGTGGAGGAAATATATGCCGAAGCTTGACATGGCTAAAGCATATGGTCGTATAGATTGGAGATTCATCTATTCTATTCTAGCAGAAAAGCTCAGTTCGGCCTGCTTTATGAACAGGGCTTTTGGCGATTCCTTTTCAGGAATTTGCACTAAGTGTTGTAACACTTACAACCTTCATTCGGCCTGCTTTCTGAACAGTGCTTTTGGAGATTCCTTTTCAGGAATTCGCACTGAATGTTGTAGCACTTACAACCTCAATTCGGCCTACTTTGTGAACAGGGCTTTTTCGCACTGAGTGTTGCAGCACTTATAACCTTAGTTCGGCCTGCTTTGTGAACAGGGCTTTTGGCGATTCCTTTTCAGGAATTCGCACTAAATGTTGTAGCACTTACAACCTCAGTTCGGCCAACTTAGTGAACAGGGCTTTTTTGCACTGGGTGTTGCAGCACTTACAACCTCAGTTTGACCTGCTTTGTGAATAAGGCTTTTGGCCTTTTTAATATTTTTCATACATTAGGGACATCTTTTTTTATTATGTATGTACAACTACAAAATGCAGCCCTCTTTTACTGGTAATACTTTTTAAGATGTTCTATATTCTAGGTCGGGCTCGTTGAGCTACTCCTTGCTGGTTGGGTGGTTGAACCCCAAATGTATTTTCCTCCCTAGGTTCATCTACGAATTCTCGTAGATGACCTCGTTTGATAAGTGATTCAACTTCTCCTTTCAAATTTCTGCAATCGTCAGTGTTGTGTCCTGCCATCCTGTGAAAACGACAGTACTTCGCCTGTCCTTTCCCACTGAGTTCCTTTTTTCTGTGGCTGAGGTCTGCGAAAGGTCTCCTTCTTCCCAGCTTGTAGGAGGACTTCTTCCGAGGTTATATTCAACGGATGGTACTTGCAAAATTTATCAGGATATGGTCTTGGGCGATGTTGGTCCCTCCTATCTTATTTCATTTCTCGTGTAGCATCATTATCCCCTTGTTTTCCCTTGGCTTGATGTGGGGGTTGCGAGTCAGGTTTGAGGTCTTCTTGGTCTGAGGTGGCCTCTTCTACGCTGATGTATTTTTCAGCTCGTGTACTGACCACAAAAATCTTATTTTTAGTCTTAAACCCGAGAGTGGCGCCATGAGTGCAGCATCGTCAGAAATCTTTTCGACCTCCATGGATGCTTATTGAATCTATGCAGAAAGCTCTTGAGTGACTCAGCTTTTCCCTACTTTATGCTTACAAGTCGTTCCTTCAGGGTAGTTCTCACCTTTAAGCCTATGAACTAGGCAAGGAATGCCTTGGCGAGGTCATTCCAATTCCTTATTAATCTTTGGTGCAATCTCCTGAACCATCTTTGGGCTTTGTCTCCCAATGTCAGGGAGAAGGCACGGCACATTATGGCGTTTCCCACTCCTTGTAGTTCCATCCAAGACGTATATTTGTCCAAGTGACTCAAGAGGTCTCCTTCCCCTTGATACCGCCAGTAAGCTATGGCATTTTCATCTTTTCAGGTAAGGGTTCGGCTAGGATGTCTTCAGTGAATGGAAAATAGCGTTTTGTTAGGTATTTATCTAGGCTTCCTTCATTTCTAGCCTCCAAATCAGCTATACGCCTCTTTAAGGCAGTGATCCCGGGCTCAGTTTGTTTCGCAGGATGAGTCGTGTGAGGCCCATCATGTTTACTTGTAGGCGTCAAAGATTGTTAGGAACCGGGCCTGTTGAATACACTATTTGTCCTCCTAGTAGTTGGTTTTGTTGCTATGGGGAAACTCATAACTTTTTCAGTCTTGCCTTTTGAGGATTCTCCATTCGAAAATTGGAGAGTTCTCCTAGTGGGAGGTCCCTGGTTCTTTCCTTGCGGGGGGACTCCATCTCGATTTTTTGAAGCAGATTGCGAGCTTGATTTTACTCCAATCTGCTGATAACATTTGTCAATTTTTCAATAGCCTTCTTCATTGCCATTGTTTGGGGGTCAATGGTGTCGTCTTGACCCCGTCTGGTGTCTACAGTTGGTGAGTTACGATCTTGCTCAGGGCAAGTGTGGGATTGATTTTCAGAAACTGAAAGTTCATCCATGATGATATTTTTGTGGGTTTTGTTAGGGCTGCCTTTACAAGATAGGGACTGTAACGACCCGGGTCCCACTTAACGGGCTGTCCTGGCCGTTAGATCGACGACGTACTGTCCTCACTGTACCAACATGGGTCTTTTCAGCATGCTTTGTCCTCACTCGCACGTTCCCCGGGAAAACTTCCCAGGGGGGTCACCCATCATAGAATTGTTCCAACCCCAGCACGCTTAACTGTGGAGTTTTCAACGATGGACTTCCGGAAAAGAAGGTGCACCTTGTTGGTATGAGTAGTACCTATCAAATCTTTTAAGCTTTCTTAGTCTGGGTATTACAATCACCCTCCGTTAGACTCGCGACGTCCTCGTCGCGCTTGATCCATCTGAGGATCTGTTGCCAGGCGTTGGGATTCTAGAGGTGGCTCCTACGAGTTCAAGAGGTGGCTCCCGTCCTATGGCGTAGCACTTTGTCCCGCATAGCACTTAGTTCCCGATTTCCGACTGGCAAACGGCTCTGATACCATTTGTAACGACCCGGGTCCCACTTAACGGGCTGTCCTGGCCGTTAGATCGACGACGTACTGTCCTCACTGTACCAACATGGGTCTTTTCAGCATGCTTTGTCCTCACTTGCACGCTCCCCGAGAAAACTTCCCAGGGGGGTCACCCATCATAGAATTGCTCCAAGCCAAGCACGCTTAACTGTGGAGTTTCCAACGATGGACTTCCGGGACGTCGAAAATTGTATGTATAAAATTCAAGCCAACTTAGAGCATAACTGAAGATTTTTACTGATAATGACTTGTAAATTGCAAGAATAAACTACAAGTGTTTTCCTTTTGTTTCTTGTCAAAGGAGATACTCGGAATATGGATAATGTAGGAAGAGTTATCATGGGTCGAAGTTATATCCTTCTTCTTCATTGTTCTCTCTTTTATAAGAGAAAATATATGTGCTTCATTCATTTCCTATCTTGTCACCTGTAATTATGAACTGAAGAAGTACACACGATGGAATGATTCCATTGGCCTCCGAGCTCAATCTGACAGTCATGATGAGAAAATTTTACAAGTAGATTTTATCAATTAATGAAGTAAGCCTTGGGAAAGGAGTCTTAACTCTTTGATCAAGGCTCATGTAAGCACTAGTGTAAGATTATTCCCTGTGGATTTCTTTGATTGGCTGGTTTATTGATTGTGTCAGTGATCTGTAATCAATAGAACCTCCTTAAAAGACTACACAATCTTTCTAGGTATGCCAACCATCCGAGCCGAACTTACAATGTAGAGCGTACGTGCTTTAATCTGATTTGTCCGACCTTAGAGCTCAGTTCGTCAGCTCAATTCATCAACAATGGACAGATTTGAATTGGTTTAATGAGCTCGACTATGTCAAACCATCATGATTTTAACTTTACAGGTGGTCTGCCGTAATTAATGAATTGCTTCTGGAAGGAAGCTAAGGCATATGCTTGGTGAGCTTAGGAGGTGCAGTCATAAGCCTATCCAAATGTATTTGATTGATTGGACGTTTGACAATGTGTAAGAAATCTTCTATCATTATGTCTCTTTGAGCCTCGATAAACTAAATAAATCGAGCTGACCTCACACATTCAAACTTATATCAGCATGAGCTTAATGTATGTAACCAACTGTACTTAATGAGGTCACCGGTGAGGTCAGATTACCCCCCAAGTCGGAGCAGCTGGTGAGGTCGGACAACAACGTCATCCCCCAGGTCAAGGCTCCTTGATTAGGTTGGATATCAACAGTTACCCCCCAGGTCGGTGCTCGCCTTGGGGATGGACTGACCTTAAAATATGGTTGGCTCTTTTTTCCATTTATTACAGGAGTAAATGTTTCAACACGTGTCACATTTTTTACCTGCAAACGAACTATCGTGAACCTTGTTGTTACACCTCATCCCTTTTATAGTCAAAGTCAATGTCAAATTAGAATTAAATTGAATAAAAGATTTCTTGCGGGGTCTAATTGGTAATTACTAATACTTGAATGGGTAGTAATAACATATATATAGGAATTTAGGGAGTTAGTATATGTTATTAGAAATGAAATGGCTAAATAGAATATGGCAAGAAGATGGGGACTTAACCTTGCAATTTGGCCATAGTTAGAAATTCTTTTGACTTTATCTAGTCCATTCTATTTCTTTGGGACTAAGGCTGTGAGAGAACAGAGACAAACCGGCAGAGAGAAGAAAAAAAAGAGGGAAAGGAAAGAAAAAAAAAAAGAAAAGAAGAGAAGAAAAAGGGAAGGGAAAAGGCTACCATATCCAAATTCTTTATCAATTCTTGAAGGTAAGCCTAAATTTTATTTATTTCATAATGATTTTAGATTTTAGGGTTTTTAGAAATTTTCCCTAAATTCGAAATTGAGCCAAGAATGAGAAGTTATTGATGTTTATTTGAGGTTTTAAGTAGGAGTATAAAAAAAAAGTGTTTAATTGAAAATCTTAGTTTAGGAAAGTAGAGATTTAGAAACGGGTTTGTCAAATACATACATGTTCTTTGATTTTCCTTTGAGTATATGATGCTACACATTTAAATTAAGGATTTGAGATGGGAATTTTCCACTTTTTAGCAACTTTGGACAAAATCATATGCAAATGCTATTTTTGAAATTAGTTTCAAGAAGTGCTATTTTTGTCAATAGTTTGCAGTAATTTTCAGCATATTAAAACATGTGACAGATTTCTAAAATTTGGAATTTTAGTGCTGTTTTTGTCAAAACTTGGTTTTTCTCAAATTTTTCAAGTTTAAT